AAAAGAGAGAAAGGCTGGTTCGAATTAGGGAAAAAAGTTAATCCCTTGATTCGGTCAGACCTGTTATTATATTATTAACTTATTGGAAAAGACTTGAGTGCCCTTCTTTAAGTAAGAGGCACTCGAACTAATATAACAGTACACATCAGCATTCTCAACAAGTACAAAGACTGAAATACCCCTTCACTAACACCACTAACAATTAGATTGAAGAGATTACAACCAAAAGGGAGAACTAAAGCTTCGCCCCATTTCCTACAATCACATCCTATGTGAGACAGATCTTCCCAAAGAAGAAAATAGATATGGTAGCACAAAGTAATTCTTTCACCAAAAAAAAAAAAAATCTTTCATAAACAATTCTAATATGGATTTACTTACTGATTCCATTCATCTCTGCTTAAAATTCTAAATGGATTGTGTGGACCTTCTTGTTTTATTTGAACAACTATGAATTTGTTCTTTTCATGGATGACAATTTGTGTTTTTGGTTTTTTGCAAGGTATGATATTATGAAATTATGATTATGGTAGGCATCTAAATGTTTCTGCTAGGGCAGTTTTGACCTTTCTTCAATACATTTGGAGATGTATCAAGCTTATGTTTTAAATACTTTTCTTGGAAAAGTGAGAAGTTCTTGTACTAATTTTGAACGAATGCCATCATTTTTCAACTCATTTCTATCTTCTCAGATATCTAAAATGAGATCCAGATTTTTACTAGGGCAAGTTGTTGATCTTACATCCATAAAAAAATTGACCTGTTCTTTGAAGCTTTTAACTATTAACATTTTTTTTATGCATTTCACTGTGGATTACTGACCTTTTAATTTGAAAATCAATGCCAAACAAAAACTATCTTTTAGGATTATTTATCAGTCCCTTTATAATTGTCAAGTCCTTATGTGTCAATATACAGCCCCGTTATGATTTTTCCTAGTTTATCATGATTATTTTTTGTCCCTTGACAGTTGTAAACTTGACTCTGATTGATCTTCCTGGACTTACAAAAGTAGCTGTTGGTAAGTAGTCTATCATTGTTCTGACCTGTCAGCCAGTACTGAAGGTTTTCTGTTTTTTCTTCTCATGTATTTTTACTTTCTTTTAAATGGCACTTAATAATTTACTATATTGACAGAGGGTCAACCGGAAAGTATTGTGCAAGACATTGAAAATATGGTTCGCTCCTATATTGAAAAGGTAATTTCAATTTGAAATTCCTGAAACCACGGAACTTTTAGAATGTCTCACACCTCTTGACAGATTAGACTAATGCCTGTATATTACTTTAAAGACATAATTACTTGTTTTCAATGCACATTTATTGTTTATCTCAAGATGCTATTATTTAAAAAGGGTGTCTATGTTACAAGAGCATAATGGTCAAATTAGTGATGAGGTCTTAAATTATAGAACTTTTGAGCTTGTAATTCTCAGTAGGGACAATATCTAGATGAGCTTTCATAGATTTAAATAAAATTTCTTACACCTTCCATTGGATGGGATGCAACCCAAAATATCTCTCTCTCATCTCAATGTGCATATATCAAGGCCTCAAGGGCAGTGTTTTCAACCCACCGTTGACCTAACTGGTTGAACCATTCGAATCATCACCCAGCCTTGATTCTATGCCCAGTTTCTCTAAAATCCATCATTTGCTTAAAAACCGTTGATTTGGTAAAAAATCGCTCGACCTGGGTGATTGAACCATTGACTCATTCGACCCGATTACCAAGTCACGGGTTGCACACTCAATGTATGTGCAAATTTCTAAAGGCAATAACTTTGTGCTTGGATGTCCAATTGGGGTGATCTTTTTTTTTTCTTTCTTGATTTTGGGTAACTTTTCGAGGTCTATGTGCCCCAAGGTGCCTATGGATCCTTGCCCCACCAATTTCATGAAAAAAAACCCTTTTTTTGGCCTTCAATTGCAATTTTTGATATTTTTTACAAATAGAAAAGGGTAAAATACAAAAACCTCCCCTGTAGTTTAATTTTAACAAATACCTCCCCTAAACTTTTGAAAAAATCAACAGAAACCTTCCTTCCGTCACTAATCCAGACGGAAAACGTATAAAGTTACAAAATTACCCCTAACTAATTGTCAGGGCACCATTGAAAATATATTAAAATTCTAAAAATGCTTTCATTCGGTTAACATCACTCTTGCGATTTTATGAGCCTTTTTTCATAGAAAAAGAATAGAGTTTAAACCCTAACACCACTAAACACTTGCATGGCACCATCATTCAAAATATTCCATTCGCCTAAGAATATTTCCCATTTTCTAGAAACCGTTCTTCACTAGCCACTGTTCTTTACCGGAAACTGTTCTTCATTGTCTGCAATATCTAGTTCCCCCCTCGAGGAATTTTTCACCAGAGCTTTTTTTTTTTCCGTTTCTCTTGCTATGAGGATTGCATTTCATAAATAGGTGTGAGTATTCTCACCAGTATCGCATGGAAAAATAACCAAGGCTCTCAAGGACAAGAAATCAATTCCTCTTCTGTGCTGTAATTTGTTAATGTTTTCTTTTGAAGGTGTTACTAACATCATTGGTAGCTTGTAAGTTGAGTAACCAGCAGCCAACCGATAAGAAATTTGGGACCAAATAGAGTTATGCTTCATCGAATCCAAAAACACAGAAATAATAAAAGCAAAAATTCATTGAAGCCGACAAAAACCAAACCAGAGATTCAATAAATGACATTTGGTATGACCCAAAATGAGAAAAAAATGCATTCAGAAGTGTCCATAAATACATAAAACCCAAAAGCAAAACAGGGGGAAAAGTTGAACAGTGTAACAGTCAGTTTTATTTCTGATATGCAATCAAACCCAAGAATTCATCATTTGGCATTTCCGCTAGAAAACTAGTATTGTAAATCCAAGATGTGATTAAAAGATTAGGCGGCCTTTAAGTTGATTAACACACTTCTCAGCCAACCTTCCGGTGAAGAACAATCACCTGCAACAGTTCACCTTCTAATCTATAGCTAAAGTTCAAATTTTATCTGTGTTTCATGTGCATAAACCAGAAACGTTGCCTCACTTCTCCACCAGACAATTTCCAGTGGTCAAATGTTGTTTCCCTTCCTGACTGGAGTAAGTTTCAGGGCCGAAAGAGTCAACGGTGGTTGCTACCTTTTCTTGAGTCGATGGTGTTTTAAGAACGAAAGATTGAAAGAGGAGAAGATGATAAATGTTCTTCCAGGGTTCCTCTCTTCTTCGGTCGATGGAGTTTTAAACAAGGTTCCTACTTCCTAGTTAATGGAGTTCAAGAATGGGAGATTATGAGAGAAAGAGATCGACGAGAGGGTAGAATGGGTATTTGAAAAAAACTGATGTATTGGTCTAATGTTTTCCGTCCGGATTAGTGACGGAAGGGAGGTTTCTGTTGATTTTTTCATCAAGAATGGGAGATTATGAGAGAAATAGATCGATGAGAGGGTAGAATGGGTATTTGAAAAAAACCGATGTATTGGTCTAATGTTTTCTGTTTGGATTAGTGATCGAAGGGAGGTTTCTGTTGATTTTTTCAAAAGTTCAGGGGAGGTATTTGTTAAAATTAAACTACAGGGGAGGTTTTTGTATTTTACCCAATAAAAAATTAAAAACTGAATTAAAAAGCATACAGCAAATATTAAATAATACATATATTATATGTAGGTCATAATTATACATTATTTATTAATAAAATAGATCTCTATACATACCTACACACACACATATATATATATGCATATTTTTAGCATTTTTTACAAATAAAAAATTCAAACTGAATTAAAAAATGTAAATTAAACATAAAATAACATTTATATATACATATTTTACATCTAAAAGGTAATTATACATTTTTTATTGATAAAATACAGGTTTAAACATACCTATATATATGTGTGTGTGTGTGGCATGGTCTGACCCGTTTGACCTGGATGGTCGAACTGGTGACCCGCAACCCGGAGGCAAAAACAGTTCGGCCTCTGGGTCGGTTTTTAAAACATTGCTCAAAGGTATTATTTATTGAAACTTTTTCCTTTACCTTGCAGCCAAACTGTATAATATTGGCAATATCACCTGCCAATCAAGACCTTGCCACCTCTGATGCAATCAAGATCTCTCGTGAAGTAGATCCTAAAGGTAAGCCTGTTACTAAAATGTGCACAGATGTCTTTTCCAGGAAAAAGAAGAAAGGCACAAACTTTTACTTCTGTTTTGACTGATTCTCTTGCTTACTTCACCTCATTGCATTTGTTGCAAGGTTTGAGACATTAAAGTAATACCAAGGTGGTATTTGCAGCTTCTTTTAGGAATACCAATTTCTTTGTACTTTTAAGTTGTAAATTTTAAGAATTCTTTGTTCCATTATATATTATTGGCTAACAGGATGGTAGCAATTGAAATTGAATTTGAACATTCAACTAACTCTAAATCTTGGTGTTGTTTATTTTCAACCGTTCAGGGGAGAGGACATTTGGTGTTTTGACCAAGATTGATCTTATGGATAAGGGTACTGATGCAGTTGATGTAAGTGAGAGAATATGTGCCCGTTGCTTGCAATAGGGCAGTAACTAAAGGAAAAATATAAGCAGTCCTATGCCTCTCCACATACCACAATTATGTTACATAGCATCAAACACCCCTTGATTTAGGAATGTGACAGGAGGCATATTATAGTTCATATACAGGCATTCTTATCATGTCTAACATGCAAAAGTAATTAAACTGATATTTGTGTGATGATTTTTGAATTAATTCCCCCTTTTCATTGTAAGACATGGGGCATTTTAACTTTTCTGGAAGGACTGCATTCTGATTGATGTTTTGTGGCCTTCCTTAGATACTGGAAGGCAAGGCATATCGGCTACAGTTTCCCTGGATTGGTGTTGTTAATCGCTCTCAAGCTGATATCAACAAGAGTGTTGATATGATTGCTGCTCGACGAAGAGAGAGGGAATATTTTGCTAATAGTCCAGAGTACAAACATCTTGCTCAGAGAATGGGTTCTGAGCATCTAGGAAAAATGCTATCAAAGGTGTAGCAGATTTTGTTTTTCAGAGAAGATTGAGAGAGTGTACTTGTTTTATTTAGTCAATTGGTACTTCAATTCAACTCAGTTAATCTTAGTCAAAACTTTTTGGTGTTATCTTTGGCAACTTAACATAAAAATTTATTTACTTGAGTTGGGCAATTTAATGTTTTTCGGCATTGTAATTTAAATATAATATAATGATTCTTCTTGCAGCATTTGGAAACTGTAATCAAGTCCCGAATCCCAGGTATCCAGTCCCTTATCAATAAAACTATTGCTGAACTAGAAGCAGAATTGAGCCGTCTTGGGAAGCCTATTGCTGCAGATGCTGGAGTAAGTCATTGCCAATTTTCTTTTGTATCCACTTGTGCTTTTAGTTTATTGGGTCAGTTGATGGCCTACAGGTCTCCTAGTCCTGGAGGTTTTGTTGACTACTGATAAAATTGCGATGTAGAGGTGATCATGGACCGGGCTGGGCTTTAGCACCTATGATAAGGGGTAGGGCAAGGCCCAGCCTGGCCTGCACCCTGGACCTGAAATATAAACCTGGGCCCTGCCCTCCATGGACCTGGCTTCTGGGCCTATATAACTTTAAATGTGCCATATTAAATATCTATGTTATTTTATATTATATGACATATAATATAGTTATACTATATATGTAATATTATGTGTCTTATTATGGGCTGGGATAGAATTGATAACCCCTACTACTGCAATGTGTATCAGTCCTCCAGCCTCTTACCCCCCCCCCCCGCAATACAACTTTTCTTATGGTTTTCTCATTCCTCATTTCATGCAGGGAAAGTTATACATGATAATGGAGATTTGTCGTATTTTTGATCAAATATATAAAGAGCATATTGATGGCATGTATGTAACTTATTTTTCCAATATATATATATAGTATTTACTATTTCCTCTTAGTGTCTGGATTAACCTTGCATTTTAATGCATATAATGTCTGCAGCCGCCCTGGTGGTGATAAAATCTACAATGTCTTTGACAATCAACTTCCTGCAGCTCTAAAACGATTGCAATTTGATAAGCATCTCTCAGTGGAAAATGTAAGAAAACTAATTACTGAGGCTGATGGGTACCAACCTCATTTGATAGCTCCTGAACAGGGGTACCGCCGACTCATTGAATCATCATTGGTCACTATTAGAGGGCCTGCAGAGGCAGCTGTTGATGCGGTAAAAATTAAAAACTAAAGCATATTATCTAGATTACAGAGCAACTTTTGTAAGATAGGAGAAGAATTCAACCAACAAAATGTTTGCTAGGTGTTTGATGACTTCAGTGGATATTTTACCTTTATCGCATCACCTTTGCTCCCTTTCTAGTTTTGTTTTGTTTTCTCTCTTTTCTGTCTTTTTCTGTTTGTGTTTATTAGACACCATCAGAAAGTATTTCTCACATTCTTTTGTTTGAATTCCAGGAATGGCTTTCAAAGAATTTTTGGGTTTTAGGTTAACCTGGACAGGAATCATGACCAGATTGTGGGTTGAATGGTCCGATCAAATTTTCTGAAGAAAAGAATCCTAGTTCACTGACCATTTAGGAAAGGTTCGGTTGAATGGTTTGGATTTTTAATAGTACCGAAGTGTTGGTTGTGTTTTTAAAGCCCAAAAGCAATTCTTACCAAATGTTCAAAACACTTTTTTTGGCTCAATTTTGTTTCCCACAGACCAAAGCTCAAAAGCAAAAGCTTATCCAAACAGAGTTTGGTTATCCTACTTGTTTGTTTTTTTAGTTTTTGGAAAAACAAAGTATTTAAGATGGCTTTGAAAACTGAACAGTTTGGATTGTTAATAGTATTCATATATTTTTACATCATAGCCTGTAGTGTCTGAAGTATAATAGTACAGGGGCTCCCTGTTGTCTGCTCTATTTAAATTATCTTATACATTGTGTTTTGTTGAAATGTACTCTCTACAACAATACTAAAATATTTTGCTCCTTGCAAATTTTTGTTTTTGCACAAAGTCCAGGTTCATGCTATACTGAAGGAGCTGGTTCACAAGTCAGTCAATGAAACTGCGGTAAGTTCCTTGTATGCCAAATGCTACCTTCATTTTATTGCCTTCTTGTATGATAATCTGTTGCATATAAGTCAAAACCTGTTACATGTTTTTTATGACCATGGGTTTGTAAGAGCAAAGTTGCTGACATATTTAGGAAATGGCTTCATAGCTGTACTTTGTTTTTGTAGGAATGAAAATATCAGATGCAAGATGCTCTTCTTACGTTCTAACAAGTTAGAAAACCTAATAAAGTGATGCATACATCTCACAGTTGTCCATGTTGAGTATTTTTACTGTTAACTTTGAATTCTCATATTTGCACTGGAAAGATATAATCAATGAGGTAGTACTACATATTAGAAAGTTCCATATTGGCCATTAGATAAAGCCTTATAAATTGGTCATTGAGATAAAACCTTCTGAGAGTGATGCGATTTGTTTCTTCTCTTCTTCTAGATATTGAGATAAAGCCTTATAAATTACCTTCTTACTGACAAAGGAAAAGGGGTTGTTATGTTTACATGCTATTTCTTTTATCTGGCATAGATATTTGGTTTGATCTGTTATCTAATTGATGATTATTTTTGAAACGAATTGGAAATTGGGATATCAACAAAATCTATGGTATGTGGACAACTTCTTGGTAGATTCATAGCATGTACACGTAACACTTGTTGGTGTATGTTGCATGCATGGCTGGGTGCATATTAATATGTTTGTCTTTATTGTACTGCTTGTTGATGTATGTTGCATGCATATTGTCTTTATTGTACTATATCCAAATATATTTCCTCAAAAATTCAAAATCTCATATGTATAACTCTCCCCCCCCCCCCAAAAAAAAAAAAGAAGAAAAAAGAAAAGAAAAGAAAACCTCTCTCTATCTTCCTCTCTGTTTGTTTGTTTGTCTAGTCTATCAATCCTCTTCAATTAAAAGGCCATTACCCAATGTAGGTCCCAGCTATCTGGGGTCTTGGGAGGGGTAGACTGGGTACGGTCCCAGCTATCTGGGGGTCTTGCCAGCCTGAGATTTTTCCATTACACCAAGTAATGACCATACATACATACACACACACACATATATATATATATAGTCATTACTCTGCTTCTTTTAATCCAAGTGTATCTTTATGATTTCATCTGTAACTCCTTGAATTTGTTTAATGGATTTGCTCTCTCTTGTTTCGCTCAGGAGCTAAGGCAGTACCCCACTCTCAGGGTGGAGGTTGGGAATGCAGCTTGTGAATCACTGGACAGAATGAGGGAAGAAAGCAAGAAGGCAACTCTTAAACTAGTTGACATGGAGTGTAGTTATCTGACAATTGATTTCTTCCGGAAGCTTCCCCAAGATATTGAGAAAGGAGGAAATCCAACACATTCAGTTTTTGACAGATATAATGATCCGTATCTTCGTAGAATAGGTAAGTAGTTTTTGTATAGCAGGATCTCAATGGTTCATGCAGGAATTTGTTCTGTCTAAGCCAAGATCTGGAAAGCCTGGTTCAGAGACAAACCATCTGGTGAAAGAGTGAGATATGATATAATTAAACTGGTCATTTGGATGAGTAATGACATGCTTAGTCTACCCTGTGGATTCCAAAACCTGCTAACAGGCAGGAGATACAACTAAAAATCCACTCTTCGGACTCCACCCTCTTCTTTTTTTGGAGCAAAAGGCAAAGTGGATTTTGTGAATCATGTCGCGTCTCTGTTTCCACTTTTGCCCCAGTCCAAACATGGCTTAACGGTTACTGTCCTTTAACTTTGAGGGGTTGATTTGGACTGTAATATATAGTGCCAATAGAATGGGAGATATGGGTGTTGCAGTGGGTCTCAACTCCCAATTCAATGCTAAAAAAATAACACCTCATGTACAGGCAGCTTCATCATATCAAAATCTGGGAGAATATTATCTTGATCAAATTTGGCAGGTTATTTCCATTTCCGTTGGGTTAGTGCCAATTATGAATCTTTTTTAATATAAACAGGAACAACCGTTTTGTCTTATGTCAATATGGTCTGTGCAAGCCTGCGGAACTCCATTCCTAAGTCCATTGTTTATTGTCAAGTGCGTGAATCCAAACGGTCCTTGCTTGACCATTTCTTCACTGAATTGGGTAAAAAGGAGGTGAGGAGGTTACCTGTCTCTTTTGTAAATTATTTATGTAGGCACACAAACACAGACATATGCCACACTTTCTATGCTGCATCCTGCAAGTCTTCTTTCCCTTTGCCTCAGTAGATAAAAGCTACAGGTCCTTACAGATCAATTTATATTGCATCTTCTGTTGTCCAGTAGATTGGTTCTATTATCTGACTGTTACTACCCATTGTCCTTATGCTGAAATAGCAAATACCGTTTATTCTTCTGGGAGCACATGTGGTTACTGCGGTTACGGTCTGTTGACTTTCTAAAAATGTTTTTACAGCAAAAGCAGTTGGCCTCATTATTGGATGAGGACCCTGCAGTCATGGAGCGGCGAGCTGCTCTTGCAAAGAGATTGGAGTTATACAGAAGTGCCCAGGCAGAGATCGATGCAGTTGCTTGGTCGAAGTAGATAACTAGATTTGTTCTAGGAATTCAGAGACTGGAATTTTGATTCTTTCATTCATGGTGCAGTTTGGGGTGTTGGGGGAGGGTGTCTGAAACTCTTGTAGCGGAAGGGTGAGCAGGTGGTTTGTACTAGGAATTCATGGTGCTCTTTTTTTATGTACTAGGAATTCAGAGACTGGAATTTTGATTCTTTCATTCATGGTGCAGTTTGGGGTGTTGGGGGAGGGTGTCTGAAACTCTTGTAGCGGAAGGGTGAGCAGGTGGTTTGTCATTCTTTTGAGCCTTTATAAGTTTCCTTGTCTGAACATATTTTTTACTTGTATATAGGATAATAACATGGATGGTCTTTGTTCTAGTTCTATTATCACGACAGAAGTAATGTAATCATATATGACCCTATGTGATTTATGATTGTTTAGATCTGTGAATTTTGTTGGGGCCGCACTTAAAGTTTTACTACTAATGCTACCCCTTATCTTGAGGTTTCTCCTTCAGATGTAAATGAGAAAACCCAGCCAAAAACTGCTTTTAATTTCTAAACAGCAAATAAATTCAAACGCTGTCTCCGTTAGTTTTACTTTATCTGGGTAAGTATGTTTATGCGGGCAAGTATTTATCAGCTAAAACTTGTCTGGGTAAGTGAGATTTCAGTGTTCTTGTATGTTCCAAGTTATCCTAGTAAAGAGAGTAGTGGAGGGAAAGAGCATTTATCGGCATGTGGCTAAGTTTACCAATTACATGGGTAACTGATACTCTCCAGTATCCTTGGTTATCATGGGACTCAATATAGCGATAAACAAATACAGGTGATTGTGCACGATCTGGTTCCTCCTATCTATATGGCAGCTCGGACGTCGATTGCTTTGTTGGACGGTCGAACTGTAAGAGAATGAAGCTTAGAGGACCTGAGGTAGTTTATCCGACGTGGGTGCTCCGATGCTTAAGTCAGTACTTGGTGTGTGAGTTAGGAATCTCGAATGCAAGAGTGCTAGTAAGCAATAAATCGCGCGTACCTTATGTCGTTGGGGTTGGTGCCCTTAAATAGGTGAGCTATCGTGGGTCTCACGAAATGCCTCCGAGATCTTCGACTTGCGCTGTTAGGAGTCCGTTCCGCACCAAAAGGAGGACTTCGTGCAAGCCGATAAGGATTATTGAGTCCGTCCAATTCGGACGGGATAAGGATAAGACCCACAGTAGTGCAACGTGATCCCAAAGTGCTCGGAGACAGTTGGCCCGCTTCTAGAAGATGTCTACGTGTCACATCGACAGGTTGGGCCATCACGAGCTGCTCGGACCTCGGTCTTGGCCGAGGTGCTTGAGGTACCCAAGGTGACTGGCCTGTCGAGGTGGCAGAAAGTGTCGAGTCAAGGTCCAATCATCAAGTCGCTTCCACATGTCCATACATGAGTAGGTCGAGCCAAATCACCCCTCATCATTTGCCCCCCACTCCCCGTGCTAGGGGTCCTGACCTGGTGTGGGGAGTTCGTGACGAGCTTAGGTAGATCTGGCCTGGTCTCCGTCTCGATCGAGGTCCGGTCCAAAGGTCAGACCGTGATGACCCAACTGGCTCAACCGTAAAACCAGATCACGTACCAGGGATGCACGGATGTCACTCGGATTAAAAACTCCATGAACATCAAAACGCACGCTCAACCGATTTCGACCTCAAAGGTCCCAATTTTTATAGGAGTCCTCAAATCAAACTGATATTAGCCATCCATGACCGACTAGAGTGGCTATAAATAGGGGCCTTGGGGTTCCATTTCTCCTTATCTTATTTCGAATTTCCGCGTTCTAGAGGTCACACGCTAGCTTCTAGGTTGGTCCTCTTTGTCTTGTCCCCGAGGTCGTCTCCTTTCTTCTTTCTTAGGTAAGTTGTCTTTCCTTGCCTTTGCTTCCTGTTTGAGTTCGCTTGTTTGTTTTTAGCATGCCTAGTAGTACAGGTAGCTTGATCGATATGACTAGTGAGTCCAATAGGGCCGAGGAGGGCACCTCGGTTCAAGACAGAGTCTGGCATGCCCGAGATGGTCACATCGATGCACAGCTTAGAGTCCGGTCCGAACGAGGTGGAGACCTCGGTTCAGGAGCGAAAAGCATTTAGTAAAAAGGCTTCATCTTCTCGTCGTGCTCGTCCTTCTCGGGGGCCAGATTGCTTTGGTCCTTCTATCCTAACACCCGAGAGGATTGAGGCGCTGGCTACCCATTATAAGTTCGCCGATCACTTTGGTTATAGTCTACCTTTAGAGAGTCTTCCCTTGGAACACGATGATGATGGAATTTCTATCTTCGAGGAGAAGTTGATTGTCGGGCTCCATTTCCCGCTTCACCCTTTTATTGTTAAAGTGTTAAACTTCTTTGGTGTCACCATCAACCAACTTCATCCGAACTCTGTTCGTACCGTGGTAGGCACCATCTCCTTGTTTCATGATCGCAACCTCCCCCTAGATATTGATACCTTCTCCTCGCTTTGTTCAATCAAAAAGAATCCTGCCGGTCCCAAAGGGGTGGACAAATTTAGTTATTATATTGCTTACCGACCTAGTACAAGCTGCTCCACGGGTACCCTTCTAAGGTGCCAGCCTAGAAGACTAGGTATTTTATTGTGATCGTTGAAGGGGGATGGCCCTTCCCAACTCAATGGAGAACTGCCATCAGTGACCCCAGAGACCGCTTGAGTAGGAAGATGATGAAGAAGATGCGGTACTTAGTTGAGCTCGGTCAAGAATTGGGAGACTACTTGGCTGAGGAAAAGCTTGTCAAGGCCGGGCTGAGTCCTCTGAGTAGGTCGTCACCGGGGTATACACACACACTTTACTTTCCCACGCTATCTTTTCTTGTGTTACTTCGGCTAACCTGGTACTTGCTTTCCATAGGCATTATGGTAAGCATCCCGATGACTAACCTCTTCGTTAGCATGAAGAAGAGGAGGAAGAGAAAGACATTCCAAGGTGACTCTTCCCAAGCACCTTCAACCAAGTCAGATGCCCCTGTTCAGACCGAGGACCCTACAGTCATCAACTTGGTCGAGGAGGACCAAGAGGAGTCTTCGCCTCACCGACTTGAGGTAGTTCCATCGCCCAAGCCTCAAACCGTCCATCCCAAGGTCAGTTCTTCTAGTGAGGGCCCTGAGATGGTCAAAAGCATCATGAACGCCAGGACCAACCTCATAAAGAGTAAGGAGGTGACCTTTCCTGAGGAGGTCATTAAGTATTCCGAGCTGCCTCATGCTCAAGTGGGTGCTAGGGCGGTGGATTACGTCATGATGGTATGCTCTCAGTGTCGATACCTTGTTTCTGCTTGGTCTGTCTAGTTCTAAATTGCCGACCTAACCTAGCACCCTGAGGTGGTGACCTGCTCTTTCTTGGAGACTTACTTCACCTGCTGCATGGTGATCTACTTCGCTTTGGTGACTTGCTCTTTCATCGTTGATGCTTGTTGCTTCTGCTTTCTTCCTCTTCCCAGCCTAGTGTAGCTCTAACCAGGACCCGAGAGCCTCTTCCACCTTGATAAATTTGTCAACCTCATCGAGGAACACCTCCATGGTCTTAGGAGGGTTCAACTCGAGATGCCAACAAAAATCTAGTTGGCGAACTCCCTTTTGGGCCATAGTGAGTTACACGGCACAGTCGAGGTTAGGTACCTGTAGCCTCTCCGAGTTGAACCTCTTGAAGTAATCTCTTAGGGAATTGTTCTCCCGCTGGACCACGTTTAGAAGGATCATCAGAGACTTCGGGCACTTCTTACTTGTGACGAAGTGGGTGGTGAACAGGTCTATGAACTGCTTCTAGCTTTTGATCGATTCCAGAGGTAGATTCCTTTACCACGATCTAGCTATGCCTCTGAAGGTCGTGGATAAGGCCATGCAGAGGCTTGCTTCATTCACCCCGACAAGTAGCATTAAGGACTGGAAACTACCCACATGATCATTCGGGTTGGAGTTTGCATCATAGGTCTCCAGGGCAGGCGTCTTAAAGTTCCTCAGCCTTGGGGCCGAGATAATCTCCAAGGCTAGGGGAAGGTCGACTTAGAGAGATGGGAGCCGGCTGTGCTGCTACCAAGCTCACTTCTTCCCTTGTTTCTGGTGTCATTGGGATGGCGCTGGTCTTACCTGAGGTACGACGTGCATGTTGTCGACATCGCTTCTTCGCTACCTCATTGGTGTTGTTTACTTCTATGCTGGCCTAAATCTCGACCCTAGAGCTTTCTTGATCTCGAACGTTGCCACAAGGAGGAGGAGAAGGAGGGGGCTTATTTTTTATATTGTCCCGAACAAAGGCCAGGTTCTGGCTACCATGGGGAATAGAGGGGTCCTGAGCTGGGTTCTCGCCTCTTACCCCGAGCTGCTGATTGTTGATTTGATCCTCACGATGCTCGTTGCACGATCGTTGCTATTGATCGCTTTGGTGGGTGCGTTGTGGCTGGTTTCTTGGTCAACTACCTGCCGTGGTGGTGACGAGCATTGACCTAATGCTGGCTCCCGAGGTGGAGTCGGGCCCCGAGGAGGAGTTGGGACCCGAGAGGGCATCGATCCCCGGGGAGGTGGTCGACGTCCAGGCTGTTGGTTCAGGTTCTGTTAGTTTTGGTGGAGAGGAGGAAAGTGCTGCTGGTAATGTTGATACTACTGGTACTGAAATTGTTGGATCTGCTGCATCTGTAGTTGCATTACTTGCTGAGTTGTGACCCCAAGAACTGTTGTGTTCCGACCCCAAGAACCACATAAGACTTTGTGATTGGGACAACGACTTTCACATGAGGCAAAGGTGCGCTTACTTGCTGAGTAAGGAATACCGGGTTCTGGACTGCAGATACCCCTGGTAGAGTAAGGGGGATGGTGAATTGACCGATGGTCACAGAGGGGATCTCTAAATTGAATGCAGGTTGGTCCTGCCCCCCGGTGATAGTCATCTCAATGCTCTTGCTAGTGCTAGAGGAAGCCATTAATAGAATTTGTAAGAAAGTAAATGCTAGAAGTGAGAACTTAACTTTTTGTTGTGTTTCTCATAG